TGTCGGAAAATCTCTGGTGCGAATTTTAGATACCAATCATTTGAATACACACGACTGACATGTTGATCAAGTACAATTTCAGGAACCATGCGAGTCTGTCTCGATTCCGGCCGTTAATTTAAATACTAATGCGTACATTCTAGATAATACATAACTTATGTTCAATACACTAGCAGATAGATACATGATGAAATTAAGGAGAAGACATACAATCAATTACAAAATTTAGATTCCAATTTAAACTTTGGGGGTTGTGGTGTTTGTATGAACTAATGATTCCTTTGTGCTTGAGGACTGCCTGATTCCAAATTACAAATACAATATGTTTGCTCATGTTCATCTAGTTCTTCTTGGCTAAGTTATCTTATTTCTAAGATTCATAGTTTGTACAAAAATCCACATACTCCTAATTATCACAGTAACAATGGGTAGCATTCTTTGTGACCCCTTTCCTCTTTGTTTCGAATAATACTTTGATGATCTTGGATCCATGAGGTTCTTATCATACAAGTGCTTTTCGTGCTTCTTTGGACAGCATCAGTGCAACTTATTGTGTGGGCGAAGTATTGTCTTCTTCATAACCACAACGCAGCGGCAACTCTCCCGAATCTAGTCTTTTCTGTCCAGCATGGGTCTAATGGGTCCCACTTATTTCGACCACCTTTAATTCGTATTTCTTAATTTTTGAAGCCATTCGATTTACCCTCACAGTCTCGCACATTGTCCGGACATTCTGCGTACATATATTAATTGCTGTTTTGGTTGTTAGAAGAGGCATCGTCCTTATAACTTTCGAAGAATAGCGGCTATAATCATGAGGCGTCATAATTCCTTCTTCGACACTCAGGTCAGAGTTCAAGTGGTTTAATCTGTTTATTCTGGTTAGCGTTTTTTTTAGCAAGATTGTTTTCTACGGCATGGGTTCAATTCAATGATGGAAACGAACACGATAAAGATCAACTCGATGATATGCTGCAATCAATCATAATGAACTACACAGGAAAGAACCTCACCATCCTGATGCCAGACCTATACTACAAAGTCGGAATGGCAACACAGGGTATGAAGATATCATGGAACGACATGCACTGGTTGACAGAAAGCAACAAGAATGGAGAAAGATTTGCAAACTGATGTGTGTTCAACAAATTGTTTATAGGAGCACAATATCCACAAATAACGGCATACACAAAGCTACATATGTCTCTCCGGATCACACCACGCAGAACCAGATAGATCATATTTGCATCAGCAAAATATTCACAAGGTCAATGTTTTCGTGATATAACTTCAGATCACCACCTGATATTGGTCTAGATGAAACTGGGGTTAAAGAAGCATTGGACAACTGGACAAGTTTATCACTATTATTATTGTAATTAGCATTCTGAAAAATAAGTATATATTTGCGATTGTACAGGTATGAAAATGAATTTTTCGAAAACAGAATTCTTTCCTGAACCAATCTTTCTTATTTAACTGGATAAACAGCATCACAGAGGTTAAATACGGACTTCCTTTGAGATACTCATGGTATTAAACTAGCCACCCTTTGATGAATGGTCATTAATAAGTAATTTGACCCATCTCTATCCAGCCTATGTAACTCCATCTGAAGCGCCTCTGGGGCTACTTCTGGTCCTGATTCCATATAAAGGAGGAGGTTGTGGCATGAGGATAGCGAACCTATCCCGTAGAAAGCTAACTCGCTAAAAAACGCTGACCAGAAAAAAATAGTCCAAACCATTTAAAATCTGCCCAGTGAAACACATTTGACGCATGGTAGACAACAACGACCAGCTTCAAAGGAGCTTCTGTCATGCTCCGACCATGAAGAAGAAAATGTCCGAATTACACAAGAAGTTGCATTGATGCTATCCAACAAGCAAAAAACACACTTATAAGATGGGAATCTCATGGACCAAGGATCATCAAAGCCTCCTTCAAAACAAGGAAAGAGGGCATTACAATGGATGTCATCCAATGCTATGTGCCCACCAACGACTGCGATGAAGACGCTAAAGATCAATTCTACGATATGCTGCAGCCAATCGTCGAGAAGTACCCAACAAAGGACTTGACCATTCTGATGGTATAACTAAGTTCCAAAGTCGGGATGGACAACACCGGATATGAGGACATAATGGAATGATATGCACTGATTGGCAGAAAGGAACGAAAATGATGAGAGATTTTCAAACCTATATGCCTTCAATTAACACAGAATCAAATTGAACATAACTGCATCAGCAAAAAAATCAGGACGAAGATGGGGATGTGAGAACCAGGAGATCATCAAGGTAATTCTACTGTATGGAGCTGAAACTTGGAGAACTGCCGCAACTATCATCAAAGACGTACACGTATTTATAAACAGTTGTCTACGCAAGATACTCAATGTCTATTGGTTGGATATCATCAGAATCAGCCTACTGTCGGAGAGAAAAACCAGTCTTCAGATGAGGAGGGAATTAAGAAATGATGTTGGAAGTGGATAAGATATGCATTTCAGAAGTCACCAAGCTGTATCACGAGGCATGATAGTTTCATTCTACGTTTCACAGAGGATTCGCAAAACAATTCGGCAACGATAAGTAAATTGTTCTCTAGTATTTTTTAGTGGGGGATTTTGGAAGCTATTAAGACATTTTGGTAAAAATAGTGTCGAACAGCATATCAAACAAACTTGAAATTCGGTTAAATGAAGTCAGTAAATAAACGGCTTTTTTAAATGTTACAAATGACTTAATTGTATCCGCGTGCAATTTTGTGTTTCTGAGTGAGTTTATTCATTTGTCTCAGATGGCAATGCATGAACTAACCGTTACTTTTGTGATCGAGAAAATATAATACTCAGTATAATGATTACAATATTGTTAAGTTGACTCGCCACTACTTATTTAGTGTTGATTTTATACCAAATTCTAAGGACTGGATATTAATAAAGAGCCCTGATGGAGAACTAATTGGGAAGAAATAATTCTTTTCTTAAGGTGTATTTCAATTGTCTTAATGAGAATATTTGGTTAATCAACAATATTTCATCTATTTTAAGCAAAACATATTTGATGAACTGTAGTGTGGTGTAGATCGGCCGTGTATCCTTTACAATTTAAAATGCAACAAAATAAAAGAAACTAGGATCTGCCACACAACTCAGCATAAACAAGCCAATCTATAAAACTATCTTTAGTGTTGTAAAATGATGATTTTGGAGGATGAAATAAATATATTATTTTTTACATTCATTTGTAACACTTTAAATGTAACCACATTTATATTCAAAATAAATACTTTCTCTGTATCTTTCACTGTGTCGGAGTTTGAACCGTAATAGTATTCAGTAACGCTATCTGATTTATCTTCTATGTCCAGTCGTAAGTGCCATGACGAGCAAACAAACCTTCGTTGATCAAGCGAGTTCATTTGTGTTTGTGATCTTAGAAGGAGCTCACAAATAACATCCATTTCATAACGATTCTTTTCATTTTGTTGTTTAATGAACCACTTAGTTGTAAGTGATATTTGTGACCGGTTTGCTTTATTCATAAACGGACACCTCAATTTGTACTGTTAATATTCTTTTTGGTATATCATTAGTAACTGTGCACATTATCACATGTTGTGTAATTTTTTAAATTAGGATCCACTGCAAATGTGACAGTCAAATGCTCCTTCAAGTCTTATATTCCGAATCCAGCATGCAGCATGCGGCATTTGTACGAACAAGTAATATTTTTATACTGCATTGCCCATTGATTACGAATTCCAAATGCAATAAGTTTGTTCATACTCATCTATTTCCGTTTAGCTCAAATTGCACTATTTCGGGGATTCCTAGTTAGTACGATAATTCGGATACTTCTAATAATCGTAATTTTACATGTCTGTTTCAAATAACTTATGTAGTTTTACACATAGGAGTTCACCAGAAGTAAACAATTTTCCAGAATTAAACGGTTTTACCTATGAGATTAATTACCAATTGGCTTTGGAGAAATCACTCGATAAATGAATAGTTAAACCTAAGAATTGGAGAATCAACTCTGTTGTTTGTTTGGTTGAATATGTCTGTAAATATTTTAGGCACCTTCTGCGGATTAAAGGACGAAACATTCATATCATGATAGATTATAAATGCTCACTTGTAAAGAGGAGCTTACAAATTTCTGATTTGCTATCTATAGATTTTTATTTTAGATGTCCGTTCTTCTCGAGTTCGTGCTGCATTCTGTATTAAAGATAAAATACTGTACTGAAAAGGTGAGAACTATTTTCTTAATTCCACTTTCTTCCGTCCTTGATGTTGACTAGAACGCATCCGCGTTTATTTTGTGTCTCTTGACTGGTTCTCCATGCGGTTAAACGGCCACGTGGTTCCTCACTGAATAATGGTTACACTACATTTTCATTGTGATAAAACATATAGGCATCCACAGATTTAATGTTGTATACATTTTTTAACCAGATTTTTCAGCTAGCAGAACATACAATGTATCAGTATCAGCTTCAGAGATTTTAAACCATCTCTCCATGTGAACTTTCCTAAACCCTTTTTATAGACCAAATACTGCCTAACAATTGCTTAACGTGGAACGTAAACAATTTTATTTGGGAGATGTGAAACGCGATAGAGTGACTGGATAAGAATTGCATATAATCACTGTTTTCGTTTTAAATGATTATAAAATGGATAGGTGAAGCTCCTTATTGTCAGGTTTTGGCGTCTCTTTCACTCCGTTGTTTGCTCTTTTGGACCTAAGTTAATGAGGACCTACAGAAGTGAGTTAATTATGAGTTTCTAATCATGAAATGTACATGAGGCCGGCAAGGGTGAAAAATTTATACCGGAGGGTCACAGATATTTTACCATGGCCGACACTTCCTATTGAGAAACTTATTTGAAACAAACGGATTGAAGTGACGCAACAAGGTTTCACAAAGACAGCTGTCAGATTAAGGAACGTTTTAAAAACGCAATGAGTTGTTTTTATCAGTTCATACAACTGTTTTGCGGAATTTTCGAAAGTGTTCGTCACAGCTGACGTCCTCTTCCTTTGTTGATAATTTACGATACGGCTACAGGACCTGTATGCTTATATTAAGATAGCAAACTGAACAGGCCTAATACGTGTCAACTTAGTTTTCACTAAAACGTTTTAACAAAGAATTCCTTGCAAACGTCATCGAAAAATGACAGCTCAACCAGAATCATTTCAATTCAGTCCTCAATGGATTAGGGAATTATCAGATGATGCATTTAACTCTAGAAGACAACCAAGTCATAGTCCAACCGAAGGTCGGGTTTCCAGCAAATCTCCCAACCTGTTCTCAAACTTCGTCCAGAAACATTCTAATTTTTCTGTCCCAGGGGATAAACGAAAAGGTTCTCTTCCAAATTCCTTGACTGTTTCTTTGTTAGATATAGTTGTAGGTAAAGTTTCGAAACCTGTGTGGCCAGGTGACACCATTTGCGCACCTTCTGTAGCTGAAACGGACAGGCACGTTTCTGTTATAAACGTACTATATTTATGTTGTTATTTAACATGAAATGAGATCAGGGTTTCGGGTTAGTAACGTAAGCATTTTTATTACACACAGATCTAGCTCGATCTATCACAGTTTATTCTTCATATCAAGAAATCTGATTTCAACACGATTTGTTTTATATCTTATCTAAATCATGTTATGGCACCTTTTATGCTCCATGGTGCTTATTATATCCTGTCCTGTCCCTATTATTTCTTTTTGGAAAGAAATATATGATAGTGCATTCCTGGTGGTCTTTCCGTCCTAAAGATTTCTTCGCGAGTTTCCGTCATTGCCATTTAATGATTGTAAAGTTAAGAAGTTAGGATAGTGTCATGCAGACCCCTACGAGCCTTAATTTACCTAGTCAGCTTGTCCATCCTTCCACTTAAAGTACACTTAAGCGTACTGCTTTAAGTTTTCTCTCTAATTATTTCAGTTTGGTCATTAACACCTTAGCGATTGTCGTTCCAAACCCAGATATTATTCTACATGGATTATAGTGCAGTAGGACACCAAAATCATAGAGCGATACCAACAAACTGGAAATATTATAAAATAGAGAAAATGTAAAAGTGCCGTACAATTGGTCAATAAGTGAATGACAATATGATTGAAAAGACAGCCAAGAAGATCCACTCACCTAAAAGGGTCTTTCTCATTTCTGTGGATTTTGTAATACGAAATCACGAAAAGATCCCAGTGTTTTCCGCAAGACATAATATCATCTCGTTGGGTGTTACTCCTTTTTGTGACAAGTAAAACTTGGCTGCAGTTCCATCTTCCTTTTAGTATTAAGCTTGTTATTTGGTAGTTTTCTTCTCTGTTCCGAATTAAACTTCATGTATTAAGTTCCTCATGCTCGTATGCGTTTATCATTTCAATGTTTTCTACAACTTTTCCTTCATCCTAAGAGAGAATGTAGCAACCCCTATTTATTTAATCTAAATCCTACTTCATAATCGATGTTCATATATATATATATATATATATATATATATATATATATATATATATATATTCATATATATATATCTTTTCCAACCTGTTTCACAGTCAAGGACAACCTTCCACAGAGGTGACAAAACAGTACTCACACAGCATACAGTTTTCTGACTCTATATATGGTCAAAAATCCAATGCCAACCAAGTCATCAATCCTGCTAGCCATTGTGTTGATACCAACAAACAAGCGATGCAATGGACTCAGAAGTCCTCTATAACTTCTCCTTCCGAACCGTGTTGGCAACTCCACTCAGACTCAGGCATTCAAACGTCCGTAAGTGTGCATTAGTTTTCTAAAGAGTTGTGCAGTTTTGGGCTGATTCATACTTCTACCAGTTAAACAACCCTAGGAAGTTTATGATCTATTGTTTTAAGGAGTACATGTGGTTCTCTGCAAATGCATTTCCTATAGCACTTGCACTTGTTAACTCTTCTCTGTGATGCACACTTTTCATTTCTAAATTTCTGGGACTCTTATTCTGTGACTGTATGTTATCACAAACTGCTATTCTCTCCGTTTCTATTAAAGGGGAATAACAAACAGTATTATTTCAGAAACTTCATTTCTGGCTAATTTTCAAAGTATGATATTACCACAGAGTAGAACTTAAAACCTGGTTATGCGAGGATTCGTTAAAGTAAGTTATCAATACGTAGTAGATTAGCGTTTTCCTCCAACAAATTGTGCTTTAGTTAATGGGACTAGTTGTGCTACACGAATCCCCAAACCGAAATAAGTGGGGTGGAATTCGAACCCGAAGGTTATTTGCTGAAAGTCGAACGCCTTAACCGTCGACTCGCCGCTCCACCTCTCGTGTTGGTAATTACCATTAATAGTTGGTTTTTTGGATATAATGGATTAATGCATAGAATTATTTCGAATGGCTTTTGTTTTATAGTTTATTTTTTGTGGTGCTGTAGTCACTAGTGTGTGTGTAGTGTTTAATATTGTCTCTGTATTTAGCTTACGTGGCTTTGCACTCCTAAGATGGTTTCATGGGAATTTAAAAGTAGTGGTCTATATAGTTTCATCTATTTGCTAGTAGCATACAGTTTTGACTTGACTGATCATTTTCAACCAAAACTAATCAAGATAAAATGGAAATTTCCAAAGAACAATTGATTCGTCTATTTTCAGAGTGGTCCGTGATTTGGAATATTCTAGTATGTCTCAGTAGTCTTAATAGTTATGCGAAAAATCGATTTGAATCAGATAGCACAATTTTAACAGCTTGAATTTTAAATTATGTAAGGATCAGAAAGCGTGTTGAATAAATCTGCGGCTTTTATTTCTATTTGAGCGAAATTTACTGTTTTTTCCAGGTTAACAAAGTACCAGATACAATAGGCCTGAATACAACAGGTCATCCTTTACCTTCATCGGGTGCCCGACCTCTCGAAGTGCAGCATGTGGGAGGTTCTCTCTTATCAGGAAATTCGTCAGTTGTAAGCAACCCAACGTTGAATATAAATTCTATTTTACCTAATGATGGTATCCCAGTTCCCCGATCAGATCCATATAGTCACAATAATACTGATTCATATAATAATCAGAGCAAACGGGCTGTCAGTGCTTATTATGGAATCAGTGATCCAGACAAGGTATCAGAGTTGCGTTTTACGATTACTTTTACTTAAATTCGAGCAATTTCATTCTAATGAAAACAGCTTCAGTTAAACGAACTTAATAAATCACAGCAATGCTTGAATTGATTTCTCACTTGTGCGACAAACATTGGGACACTATAAACCACTGCTAGATGTACAAATCAAAGCAATAAACATCGATGTTATTTGGTCCACAAAGATAACTTGACTGCCGTGTCATCCGAATGATTTTCAAGTCTGCCTTACAGTGCTTCATAGAACGCTTGTAGTATTGATATTGGGCTTGTATAATTCATTTATCATAAGCGACCATATACTAAAATGTGGTTGAAAACTTTCTATACTTGTCTATTTGGAAAAGAACTTTATAAGAAATACCATAGAAACAAGATATGAGATTCTGTAGCAAAATTTATTTTGATTAGCGATAGTGAAAAAAAAACTTTATCGACAAATCCGATTGATGCTTTTTTAGATCTGATGGTAAGGACACTATAGTCAAAGTGGCTTAAACTTGTTTCTTGTAATTGTACTGGTAAGTACTTTGTCTTCGTTGAGGTTATCTCGAAAACTCGTCAGTGCTTTAAATTGTTACTGCAAAATCACAAGAAATCATTCTATCAGTTTTCCAAGGTAGTAATATTAGTAAATTGTTTATCAATAACAGGGTTATTTACTGATTTTCGAACTACACGTTTTGTGCGATGGCTAGTGGTAGATAACACAGGAATTGAAACTGCAACCTCTATCGTTGAAAGCCACGTACTTCGAACAATGAACTACCACTTTCAAAGTCATGTAAATACTATATTAACAACTGACTTGACTCCCTTTCCTTGAGATACGAAAGCTGTAATGATCATCCTTCTAATTGTGACTTAACTGAAATTTATGTTTATCGCTTTGTGTATCGAATTTCGTTAAATTCCTCGACGTATTAGTACTACTTCCTCGACTGTGTTACCTTGAATACGAAGTATAAATCTTAAATAAATTTAATTGTACTATCATATTTCAGTTTCTACGTTCAGTCGACAGCTTCATAACACGTTTTGGAATGATTTCTGCTTTTCCTTCTGTATTGATTAATTTATCTCACTGGATTTCTTAACAAATTGTGTTATAGGCCTTAGATTCCAGTGTAAATTCAAACGCTATATGGATGCAGCAGCATATATGGTCAAAGTCTGTTCCACAGCACTTACATGGCTTTAACCCTATTGATTCCAGCTCCAACTCCGTATCCAACTTCTGTGGAGTCGCCACTACAGAAACTAATAGACATTCTAGCTGCAGCGTTCCTGACGCCGAAAACATACATGGTTTCTTTTCACAATTGTCTTCATTTGATCGACTTGTGCAATCAAATTCAAGTCAAGCGTATCCGTTGGTAAGGGAATACATGGACAGTCATATGTCGAGAGTTAAATGCGCATTACGCTTTTGATATTTGCTTGTATATTTAGTCATATCCCTGTTTGATGTGTTGTGAGATATGTGTTATTTAACTCTTGGCATTAGGGTAGGTCTTAAATGTATGCATTGCAACGGTTGTAAGTATTTGGCGAACATCCTACAAAATTTTGACCAAGATTTTCAAAGATGAGACGGATTATGTTAAAACTATTTTATTATTGTCTTCTCCCCATTTCTTTCATTGGTCTAGATTCTTACTTCTCTGTTATTTGATCACTTGGTATGTTAAGGTCTAAAATCCATGTATACTAGTTGTACTTTGAAAAGTCCATACTATTTATGTACACTTGTGAATTTGAAAAAGTCTCATTAAATATTGATTTTGCACATTTTTTTAGTTTCGTTTGCAACATTTTGTATGAAACTGTTTTTTTCCATCTGAAGTTACTACAACCTTCTCTGGTAATATACTGTTATGAACAAAACATGCAGATACATATTTGTATTGTAAACCGTAAAATAATTTTTCATATTCCACTGAACTATGAAGATTAAAAATATCTCTGTAGAACAATATTATCATGGATGATATTCATATTTCGTGTTGCTTGTCATCGAATGATTTCTGTGGATCTTTAAGACGACGTATCCCAGTAAATTTTACTAATCTGCTTTAGTTCTATGAGTGTACCTGTTTTTGTGCTCATTACTCACCGAACGATAATGTTTACAGTTGTGCACACAGGCCATAAGATAAACTTTTACCCTTTTTCAAACTATTTACAAGTTCTTCGACTAGCCTGTTAGCTACTTAGTATCATAGAATGTTCTACATTTCGACGTTGATATTTGTAATTATATTTTGTTTTCATATGTATGAAAATTTTTTTAATCGGTTGGTAGTCAGTGTCCGTAATTATGGCATTTAGTATCCACATTCCAAATTCATACACGCTTTGTGGTAAGCTTTTAGTAGTCGAAAAGCTCGTGTATGTGGGTGGCTGTGCGAGTCCTATCGAGACCATAGAGGCTTATCCCAATTTGGTTCATCTTTGGATCTGTCATGATGTTGATCTGGCTGCAAAAGTTTTACGTGTTGGTGAAAACGTTTCTTCTTTAGGTTTGTGAGACCTAACATTTTCAAGTTTAGTTTATTCAACCACTCTTTGTGCTCGATCATCGTTCTCCTAATGATTGCCGGCATCAAATGGCAAAACCATGTTAGTATTCTCGTGGTTTTTGGCGTGCGTGCTCAGAAATGACGATAGTTCAGTTAGTGTCGCTACACTGTGTAACATTGACGTGTGGCATGGACTTGTGTTACGAATGTCATCCTAGCGGCTTCTACATCCTGCTTTATTTGCCAACGCTGAGATAGGGTGTAAGGAAGCTTACTAGTGGTCAGTTTTTGATATGGTGTCGTGGTGTGGAAGGAAACTGTATGAGATTGGCATCTATCGGTTCATCAAAATTTTGGGATCTAGGTGGTGTAACTCAGCGGCCTGCTGTAATAAAAACCATTGATAATCCTATTGTAGTCTTTTCTCTTACACTCTTCATAAAAATAAAGGGAATTTTTTTTTACTGAAAAGGATCTCAGTTTTATTGTTAGGTGAACTATGTCTTCTGTCAAAATTTCTTATCGAATTTTTCTTTTCCATTGTACTCCCTTTCCTCATTTCTTCCTTCACAAAGTTTTTATAGCCTATTATACTTCTGATACCCAGGTTTCATGTTTTTTAATTATAAATTTTACCGTTTTGTTTGCATTTTAGTCGAATAGCAGTGTTCAACATCCTCCTAATATACTGAGCGCAGAGAAAGGTTTCGTTAGACGTAATGGATGTGACCAGTCGGATGAGCATATGTGGCTGTATGAAGATCCACAGGGTCGGACACAAGGTACTTTCAGTGATGCACAAATGAATGAATGGCTTATGGCTGGGATTTACTTTACTCCAAATCTTCGTATACGACGTCAATGTGATGATACATTTTCTACTCTCGGTAAGATGTCTCGCTCTTCAAAACCATTCAATTTGTTATGCATCGGTTAAAGTACTTTGGATTTAAAATGGTAGGTGTTTTAAACACTATAATGCTTTTACATGTAGGGTGCAATTCATTAGTAAGTTAAGAGTATTTTCATTTGTTAATTTTCAGCATATATTTGTTGTGGATTAGGTTTACTGTGATTTGATGGACGGACTTTCGATCGTCAATATGAAAGCAGAATGTTGACCGATTTGAAGTACACAGTGACATGTTGTGGTTAAGTGATGATGGCTCACGAGACCGATCTAATTATGTAAACTCTCAAGTGATTTGAAATCAAAGACAAGACCAACAGTCAGGAGAATAACTTTTTTACATAACAGGGCTCGCCTATCGTAATGAAGCAACCGAGCTATACTGTCTGGAACAACCGTTCTTCAAGGTCCTAACATGCCAGACAGGTCGGTCGAAGAGCGGTAAGACTGAAAGCAGCAAACGCAAGGTCCGAAGGCGAAGTCGTACTGCTGACTGTACAGAGGTGTGACGGTAGTTAGATGTTTCCTTAAAACAACCAACATAACAGCGATGTTGCCTTCCCACAAGGAAGAGTGGGGTTAGAAAAGGTCGACCCTAGAAATGTCCATCTCGCCTTATCCTACGTATTTGCGTATCCGGTGGTAAGGTTCCAATAAGTACGGAGGTAACACGAAAATTACTCACAAAAGGTCGTGTGTGACTGGCCTCAAGCAGTTGTCACTTGGGAACTCCGATCACGCCCTCAGGTCACTAAGACCACCTCTAATCCAATTTCATTTTCAGGTACCTTCAGAAGAACCCTTCTACGGTGTGAGCGACCGGGAAGTTATAACTGCCCTCATACCTCTAACAGCACTCATGGTCACTGTATTCATAGTTAATCTCCCTCTTCAATTCCTATTGTTGCTCCTACATCGACTTTCACCTCAAAACTTCCTTTTTCGGCTTCCCCCTCGTGTGTCACCATAGCCAACGATCCTAGTGCTCAAAACACCGTCCCAGATCTACTGAGACCGAGCTCCAAACTACACATTGAAGCCTTCAAGGTATACACCCTATGTGAAATCGGTCAACAGGCTTCCTTGGCTAGAACCCTAGAATCTCGTACCACTGATGTATGTTGTGTCTCTGAAACACGCATACAGGATCCCAGTGTAGTCATTCACTCGACCTCACCTCGGGAAAACGGAGAGCCAACGAGATACACCCTCTGTGTATCTGGTGACCCGACGGTCAGCTCTCGTGGACTGGCAGGAGTAGGGATAGCACTAAGCATGAGGGCGGAACAAGCACTATTAGAATGGATCCCCGTTAACAGTCGCCTGTGTGCTGTTCGGCTAAACGGCTCCGTAAGAACTCGTAAGGATAAGGACACACGTCGTCGCCTTTTCATCGTTTCTGCGTACGCTCCCACTGACTGTAGCCCGGATGAAGTGAAAGATGACTTACAGAAAGCTTTCTTAACTTCTTCAGAAAGCTAAACACTGAGATGTAGTACTCGTATCAAGTGACTTTAATGCCTAGGTAGGTAGCTTAAACCAAGCCGAAAGACATTTAGGTGGGCATTTTGGTATTCCGGCTCAGAGAACAGAAAATGTTGACCGTCTGCTGCAACTGTGTTCAGACAATTGTTTACTTACAACAAGCACTAATTTTAAGCATAAGGAGAGACATCGTCTTACATGGCGGCCGCCTGCCCTAAACCAACGATGGACTCAAATAGACCATATTGCCATCGGTCATCGTTAGAGAGGCTCAATAGAAGACTGTCGCTCTTCCTGGAATACCCATTTGGACTCCCATCATGCTCTAATACGAGCATGCATGTGCTTGCACCTCTCTGGACTCAGGAAAAACACATTAAGAAGACACATTAGAGTTGAACTCAGTGACGCGAAAGCCAGACGTAGATTCCAGGGACAACTGAAGCCACGCTTAAGCGATTTGGAAAACAACGCTGACCCAGATGTTGCTTGAAAAGATATACAAACATCTGTGGGAATAGCAGCGACATCTATTAGTGATTTGGACCAAAGGGTCACGTAAAACTAGTGGATTTCTACTAGGTATTGCACTGATGGATTCTCGTAAACTCATCCCATCAGGCTCTGAACACGATGAAGAGCGTAAAGAAATCAGATCTAGGTTAACAAAAGTCTAAGGAACGACCGTGAGCAGTGGTGGGCAACGAAAGCAAAAGAGATGGAAAAGGCGGCGACTATAGGGAACACAAGACAGCTTTACAGACTAATAAAAGAAACTGGAATTAATAAGTCAAGTGTAAGTGAGATTATTTCGGAAAAAGACGATACCTCATCTGCTCCCAGTCCAGACGTTTAGAACGATGGGCGGAACATTTCAGAGAACAGTTCAGCTGGCCTTCAGCTACTCTACAACTACCCTCCATTCCCAGACAGTGTGAATGGAACATTGAAGTAGGTCCCCCAACTCTTGCTGAAGTTCAAAAGGCTATAGTTAATCTGAAACGAGGAAGGGCAGCTGGTCCAGATGGATTGGCTCCAGAAGTCTTTAAGGATGGTGGTCCAATTTTAGCGATTAGGTTGACTAATATTTTAGCTAAGATCTGGGAGTTAGACGTTATCCCATCTGACTGGTCGCAATCACTTATCGTCCCAATATATAAGAAAGGGTCAAAATCATCCTGTGACAACCACAGAGGGATTAGTTTAACTAATATAGTATCTAAAATACTAGCCTCGATAATTATCAACGCCTAACTAAGACTCGTGAACTGCAAACACGAGAGAATCAAGCTGGCTTCAGACCTGGTCGTGGCTGCATCGACCACATATTCACCATTCGTCAGGTTCTAGAACACAGGCATACTTATCGGCGTCCGACATGGTGGTCTTTCTTGACTTAAAAGCAGCATTTGACTCGGTAGACCGCGAGATTCTGTGGCAGTGTCTGTCATTGAAAGGCGTACCTCAGAAGTACATAAACCTTGTGAAGGCTCTTTACTCGAACACTACTAGTCGAGTCAGAGCTTATGGCGAACTGTCATCTACTTTTGCAACCTCAAGTGGTGTCCGTCAAGGCTGTCCACTTTCTCCATTTTTGTTTAACTTCATCATAGACCTACTGATGGAAATAACTTCTCGTCGACTGAATTCTCGGGTATTGATCTCCATCCAGGAGGTCCACTTATCGACTTAGAATACGCAGATGACATAGTCCTGTTTGGTGAAGACGCTGACAAAATGCAGAGTCTTTTGGTAGCACTAAGCAACAATGCCAGAATGTTTGGAATGCGCTTCTCTCCCTCTAAATGCAAGTTGTTGCTTCAGGACTGGTCTGCGTCAACACCTGAACTAAGGATAGGGAGTGAAGTAGTCGAACGCGTTGACAACTTCACTTATCTTGGAAGTCTGATCAGCCCTAATGGGTTGGTGTCTGACGAAATCTCAGCACGGATTCGAAAAGCTCGTTTGGCTTTTGCCAACTTACGTCACCTGTGGCGAAGGCGAGATATCCGTCTATCAATAAAAGGACGAGTATACTGCGCGGCAGTCCGTTCTGTTTTAATTTACGGCAGCGAAACATGGCCATTAAGAGTAGAAGACACTCGTAAGCTACTAGTATTTGACCACAGATGCCTTAGAAATATTGCTGGCGTCTGCTGGGATCACCGGGTAAGTAATAGTGAGGTTAGACGCAGGGTATTAGGGAATGATGGTAAATCAGTTGATGAGGTTATGAATCTTCATCGACTGAGATGGTTGGGCCACGTGTTACGTATGCCTGAACACCGATTACCACGACGTGCAATGCTAACCGGTGTAGGGGATGGTTGGAAGAAAGTTAGGGGCGGCCAAACCAAAACGTGGCATCAGTGCTTGAAGTCACTAACTTGTAGTCTGAGCCATGTTGGTAGATGCAGACTACTTGGTTGGGGTCCGCGTGACTATCGTAACCAATGGTTGGAGACTCTTGGTGACATGGCTCAGAATCGATCACAATGGCGTCGGTGTATACACTCTCTATTTTTCCTTAAACTAAGAGATTAAAATCGCTTCATATCTTTCTTTCTATGAACTAATTATTTCTTCGTGTACTATATCCTCATTGCAATCTTTCTTTTATATATTACCTCTGAATCAACTAATTCTATGAATCCGGTGTCCATCTTGTTGTGTTAATGAGGTATGGCAACTTGGACCGATGCATATATATGCCTGGTTCTACGTTGTAGCTGGCTGACTAATAAATCAATGTTTTATTCGTGCAAGCTGATAAATTATCTTACGTAATTCTAGTGTTTTATAATAACTCACTACATCTATGTGGACAAATATATTTGTTCTGTTAGTTGTCAGTTTTACATTTTTTCGTAAAAATTAAGCATTAAAAATTAGAGAATGACATTTTTCTTGCTATATTTGTTGTTTAGCCAGTTACACACAGTTGTTTGAACGTGTTCCATTTGTCTCTGGTCCTCGAATACCCCCTATTCGTGGAGAGATCAATCAAGCTATGTTAGCTCTGTCTTCATCTGGTTTCTTGAGTAAACCACATTTTAAGAACTCCGATAACCCTCCAACAGATTTGTTACCTTGTAATTCAACCAATCATGATCAATCAGAGGGTAGTAGAGTAAATGCAAGTATGGTTGGAAATTCCACAATTGACACTAGTCGTTCATTGTTGTCAGAACCACAGCACCAGTTGTACCACCAACATTCAGATTTTTCCGTAAGTTTGATTTTTATCTTCTCAAAATCTTACTACCCATAGTGGTATACCTAAAATCCATGTGCACGCTTCTAGAAACTACTTTATTCAGCGTTGTATCCTTGACGTTGTTGAGTGTTTTTCTAAACATTCAGTTTCTGATTTATTTTCTTTGCAACGTTATCCTATTATGAAACATTTTTGTCGTTCGTTCCCGTCTTTCAAATTAGGAATATTTCTCTTGTTTTCTTCAGACATCAGCTTCTAACGCTACAACGTCTGTTGCCGGAATATCGGTACCTACTTGTCAAGTTACTGAAGAGGGTTTAAACACTACAAATTCAAAAAGTCTTGCCTATGGCCCTATCAACACATCAGTTCCTGTGAGTGTACCCATGTCCTTGCTAAATAATTCAATCAATAATCTGAGAATTCGAGACAATGCAGAAGCAGACTTTAAATCTGTATTAGACAATCCTAATAATGTTCAACAACACAAACAGGCCATTTCTTCAGCCTCGACATTCATGAACCTAACTTCTTTGATTCCACTGAATCCATCCTTCCCATCTTTTAACTTGCAGTTCCCCTCCAGACTTCAGGGCACTAATGGAACTACTATGGATGATCTTACTTCAACAGCCAGTTCATTTCTATCTCCAGGTTTTTGGTCTGTTTTAACCCAGTACTTAAACTTGCATCCCCCGTCTGCAAATCAGACTTCTACTCCTATGCAGCAGCTCGCAGAAACAGCGCAATTGGCGGCTCAGCTCGCAGCATTGGTTGGTTCTCATAGTCCGGATCAAACTCCTATGCAGCCATCTCAGGCGTTAGCTTTAGCGCAATTACTGATTACTCGAGTAAGCTGTGACCCTTGGGCAGTTATCATGCTTCGTTCTTTTTGATATTTTGCAACTGTGATTTTGCTATGTTCTGACTTTGCGTAAGACTTTGAATGATTATTTAATAAAGATAAAATAGATTTATTAAAAGCTGTAATATTTTTGATTTCTTATAGATTACATTTATAAATCCTCTAAGTTTAAGGATACACATTTGAAAAAATAGTAAATTCAGTTCTAACCTTTACATAAAAGGCTTCTCGAGTCACAATACACAATCCTTGAAAACACATTGTTTCAGAAGGCATTAGTTTGTCAGAGAAGCATATGGATTTGGCGTTGAGTATCGTGTAGCACATTTTTTCATTTAATGTGATATTTCTGGACATTTTTAATGTACCAGTTCTCTTTACACTTTTATCACTGCTTTGTTCACCGACGAGGAAAGCTAAACATCAAGTTTTTTAGATTCATAACATGGAGTCCTTTCTTCCTCGATAATCTAGACCAATACAATTACTGTTTTTGTTATATTTTCGTCCTATTTCGTCTCTTTTTAGGGAGTCGGGTTGGGTAGTTTCAGCGCAGAAGCGCCTTCTTCTAACGGTTCGCTCACTTCTAAGAAGGATAAGCCTTCTGATAACGAATGCATTGCCAGTTCATCGATCTTCCATACTTCGGAAATCAGTGCTGTAAGCGAGCGACATCAAGAATCTCAAATACAATGGCCTTCTCTTGGTTCTACGCTAAATCAAAGTGCACCTCATTGTAGTGAAGGGTAAGGAGCTTACCTCTTTATTATTCAAATCCATTGCATTTAAGTTAGATTTATCTGTTCACTTAATTTTTATGTGAAACCGCTCGTATGCTTTATATTGTGGACTGTAGCAATTTCCCCAAGTTTTTATCTAGTAAACAACATTCTTAAATTGTTTTATGATGCATTCCTGGGTTCAACTAAATTATTGTAGTCAGATAATTAAAATAAAATTACATCCACCGTAAACGTTGTATTATTCGCTTGAAACTAATAGTTTCCCCCTAATAAAAATATGATACTGCAACTCCATTTATCAAGCTCAATTTTCACCACACTGAGTGAGGATTAGCGGTAATATCCGGCTGTCCAAACCCAAGTAAAAGAAGCGCTGTTCAAACTTTCGATCTACTAGCCTAAAGCTGAGTGTTTTAATAACCAAACTGCTTCTCCAACTAATTGTATTTCGTCTTTTGTACTAATTTATACGCAGCTTTGCTTTTAATGAATCAGTTATACAAATGTTCCCTGAAAAGCAGTTTTATTCCTCTACTATTGAAGCGCGATAATAAGATAGGATTTTGGAGAAATGGCGTTTAGTTACTGCGTAACCTCACAATCACTTATTTGTATGCTGTTTATACCTGTGTTATTTGTTTTTATCCTTTTTGTAGGCGATTCAATCCAGCACCACTTAACAAGGTATCTAGTGAGTTATCTTATGGGAAAAACTGTGAGAAAGACTTGTCAGATAATACTTCTGCTGTCAGTCAAAATCTTCATAGCTGTCGTCCAAATTATTTAGACAAGCCCCAATCTACATTTTCAAAGCCATCGACTAGTCCTCGACGGACTAATGTTAAGTCTAAAATCCAACCAGATTCAACATTATCTGAACCTGTCCAGTCAATTTCTTTAGATGGATATAACCGAACTCAGCAAAATGGCCGAGGCCCCAAAAATACTGAGGTTTGTTCTGGAGCCTCTGTGCGCAGTACAGAGCAGAAACAGATTGCAATTAGTTCGTCTCGAACAGGGTCAACAAATCAAAGCAGAATTAAGGTTAGTAAAAAGAAATAATTCAGCTGTTTTCTTTGGTAAATTATCTTTTGCACTACTTGTTCTGTTCATACTGTGGCATTCGTTTTTATTAATTAATGTAATTATTTGTATATCATAGATTGGAGGGAATTATTATTAGTTGACACTTCATTCAAAATTTAAATTTCTATAGTTTCGGGATTAGTTTAGAAGTTGTACAAATAAGTCTTTCTTTGGCATAAATGAATATAGATAAATATACTTGGGTTCTTTGGCTTATAGCTTATGTTTGGACCCTCAATTTCCTGTCAAAAGGGATATATTATACATCGTACTATTTTCCGATGACTATAATAAGGTAATACTTGTGTAGTCCATTTCTATTTTTGTTGTTAGTTAAGCTTTGGATAGTTAGGGTTACTTCCCATGTTTTGAACTCCTGTACCTGTTTCTGCATGCAGTCTGCAAAGTATCTGTTAGCATTGAGAGTCTTTTATAGTTTAATAATATTTTTATCTGCCATTGGTGAAAATTTCTTGATGATAGTACTAAGTATTTCATCGGTTTTTAATACTATAGAAAACTAAATGTTTTTATTTTACTATGGTTGGTGATAATTCACTACGTAGTCAGTTTAGACCTCGAGTCTCATTTCCGTTTATCCTAATTCCATTATGACAGTTATCTTTTGTTTTCGTATTCCAAATGGTCCCATGTTTCCATACGAAAAATATTCCTTATGTAACTAAATAATACTTGTATTTGGGGGAATGTTATTTCTTTTGGTAAGACCAACCAATCAGCTAGCTAGTGAGGATTTGGAATGTAGCAGTTTTGGATTCTAAATAAATACACTCTATGTCTACTATACACCTTTGAGCTGCTCATAATAACAGTGAAAATCTCAAAAATCGAAATGCCACTCACTGATTCATTTCGTTATATTAACCACTGTTTTCGTCAACTTCTAATTATGAAAACATATCCTCGATTTATTTAATTCTCTTCAAAATTTGTATTTGGGGATATGTGAAGACTATAGAATTTTTACAGTTTAAATCAAGAACTAATCTTAAATAAACTACCATAGAAAACATGAAGGCACAGGACGACTGTTTCGTCGTAGAATGGGACTCTTTAACAGTGCACATGCACAAACGGGCATCCGAAAATCGGAAATTTGTTTGAATTTATCAGCTCTATAACTGCGTAGCAAATAATTGTGTTGTTATTATTTGGAAATTTGTCACAGGCCTGTAGTGCTGTTTGATGATAATTACTTGGTTTAATTTTTAAACATCATTTCTTTTTGGTAGATTTCAATGTATGCTGTAACTTGGAAGATTGGTTTTGATGTTTTCATGCAGGTGTGAGTTCTGTGAAAATATTTAAATCTCGAATATATCAACTTTTTGACGTGATGTACTTGTTGATCTCAGAAATAGTATAATCTTCCCTACCCATCGTTATTTATTGTTTTTTTTTGTCGTTTTAGTTTTTGTTTTGGATCTTTGACTATTATGGTCCATCAATATGCTTACTATTTTAACGTTAATCATTTTGTAAATGTTTTTGGGAAGCTAAATCGATCAACGTTTATATGCATACATTGTCTATAATTATTTTAAAACAAACTATGTTAACTGGTACTTGATAAAGTATCAGTTGTCTTTTCTATTTTGAAATCCCATCGACCACTGGTTTCGAAATCTCACATTGCTTTCTGAAATAGTTGAGCAATAGATGTACATCCTTGTTTCCTCTTTCGGACATCAACATAATGACGTAGATCTCTCATTCTTTTGAAAAGCCCCTTTTTACGATTATTTTTTTTTCGAATAAACATACTGTTATACTGTATTTGCCTTTCAAGCATTATGAACTTATCCACTCGCAATATAAATGCGAAACATATTTGCAGACAAAACTTTAAACAAGCATTCTGCTCTAATTTTTTCCATACTGTCTTTAAATATTCATGCTTTTAGGGGTCTAAATCAAATAACGTCCGGTCACCTACAAAGGCAGTCGTTCAGAATAATTCCTTGTCATCCCAGGTATCATCTAGCGTGAATATACGTCCTACGGAAGCAGCTTGCACCTCAGTTGCATCAAATTCGGAAACAGATCCTGACCAGACAGTTGAGGATGAACTCAAAAAGCTTACTCAGTGGTGTCAATCGAGGCTTGGTTCAATGCCGATGCGTGAAAAGGTGGATATTCCTACTGTTGTTGAGTTACTGGCTACACTAGATGCCCCATATGAAGTAAGGCATATTTTGATAGTCTTCACATATTTTGCCATATCTTTTTCCATTCCTGTGTATTATACGCGTTTCCCGACCGTTGCTGCTACCTTGACGCACTGGTCAGGCTCGCCTATCGTGATGAAGCAACCGAACTATACTGTCTGGAACAACCGTTCTTCAAGGTCCTAACATGCCAGACAGGTCGGTCGAAGAGCGGTAAGACTGAAGGCAGCAAACGCAAGGTCCGAAGGCGAAGTCGTACTGCTGACTGTACAGAGGTGTGACGGTAGTTAGATGTTTCCTTAAAACAACCAACATAACAGCGATGTTGCCTTCCCACAAGGAAGAGTGGGGTTAGAAAAGGTCGACCCTAGAAATGTCCATCTCGCCTTATCCTACGTATTTGCGTATCCGGTGGTAAGGTTCCAATAAGTACGGAGGTAACACGAAAATTACTCACAAAAGGTCGTGTGTGACTGGCCTCAAGCAGTTGTCACTTGGGAACTCCGATCACGCCCTCAGGTCACTAAGACCACCTCTAATCCAATTTCATTTTCAGGTACCTTCAGAAGAACCCTTCTACGGTGTGAGCGACCGGGAAGTTATAACTGCCCTCATACCTCTAACAGCACTCATGGTCACTGTATTCATAGTTAATCTCCCTCTTCAATTCCTATTGTTGCTCCTACATCGACTTTCACCTCAAAACTTCCTTTTTCGGCTTCCCCCTCATGTGTCACCATAGCCAACGATCCTAGTGCTCAAAACACCGTCCCAGATCTACTGAGACCGAGCTCCAAACTACACATTGAAGCCTTCAACGTATACACCCTATGTGAAATCGGTCAACAGGCTTCCTTGGCTAGAACCCTAGAATCTCGTACCACTGATGTATGTTGTGTCTCTGAAACACGCATACAGGATCCCAGTGTAGTCATTCACTCGACCTCACCTCGGGAAAACGGAGAGCCAACGAGATACACCCTCTGTGTATCTGGTGACCCGACGGTCAGCTCTCGTGGACTGGCAGGAGTAGGGATAGCACTAAGCATGAGGGCGGAACAAGCACTATTAGAATGGATCCCCGTTAACAGTCGCCTGTGTGCTGTTCGGCTAAACGGCTCCGTAAGAACTCGTAAGGATAAGGACACACGTCGTCGCCTTTTCATCGTTTCTGCGTACGCTCCCACTGACTGTAGCCCGGATGAAGTGAAAGATGACTTACAGAAAGCTTTCTTAACTTCTTCAGAAAGCTAAACACTGAGATGTAGTACTCGTATCAAGTGACTTTAATGCCTAGGTAGGTAGCTTAAACCAAGCCGAAAGACATTTAGGTGGGCATTTTGGTATTCCGGCTCAGAGAACAGAAAATGTTGACCGTCTGCTGCAACTGTGTTCAGACAATTGTTTACTTACAACAAGCACTAATTTTAAGCATAAGGAGAGACATCGTCTTACATGGCGGCCGCCTGCCCTAAACCAACGATGGACTCAAATAGACCATATTGCCATCGGTCATCGTTAGAGAGGCTCAATAGAAGACTGTCGCTCTTCCTGGAATACCCATTTGGACTCCCATCATGCTCTAATACGAGCATGCATGTGCTTGCACCTCTCTGGACTCAGGAAAAACACATTAAGAAGACACATTAGAGTTGAACTCAGTGACGCGAAAGCCAGACGTAGATTCCAGGGACAACTGAAGCCACGCTTAAGCGATTTGGAAAACAACGCTGACCCAGATGTTGCTTGAAAAGATATACAAACATCTGTGGGAATAGCAGCGACATCTATTAGTGATTTGGACCAAAGGGTCACGTAAAACTAGTGGATTTCTACTAGGTATTGCACTGATGGATTCTCGTAAACTCATCCCATCAGGCTCTGAACACGATGAAGAGCGTAAAGAAATCAGATCTAGGTTAACCAACATAGAATACGCAGATGACATATTCCTGTTTGGTGAGGACATTGATAAAATTCGGTATGTTGTTAGCACTGAGTAACAATCCCAGAGTGTTTGGGATGCGTTTCTCCTCCTCTAAATGCATGTTGTTGCTTCAGGTTTGGCCTGCGTCATTATTATTCCTTGGTAGTCTATTTAAGAATAGTAGTTTGATTAGTTTATACTTGACTGGATTTGGGCTTGTATACTCTCTACGCGTGCGCGCCAAGTGAAATATATTTCCGAATGTTGGTAGATGCAGACTGCTTGGTCGGGGTCTGCGTGACCATTATTAGTGAATGATGATAAATAAGTTGATGAGGTTGTAAATCTACATCGACTGAGATGGTTGGTTCACATGATATGCATGCCCAACCACCGACTACCACAGCTCGTAATGATGACTAGTGTTGGGGACGGATGGAGAAATGTTAGGGGGCTGCCAAACCAAAACGTGATATCAATCCGTAAAGTCACCAACTTCTGACCCGAGCCATGTTGGTAGATGCAATCTGCTTGGTTGGGGTCGTAACCAATGGTTGAAGACTCTGGTTGACATGGCTCAGAATCGATTACAATGACATCAGTGTATACACTCTTTATCTTCAATTAAACCGTGAGATTAAAATTACTTTGTACCTTTATACGAGCGAATCATTTCCTTATACACAATCTTTTTTTATATATATTATTATCATTGAAGTAACTACTTCTATGAATTTGGTGTCCATGTTTTTGTGCTAATGAGGTATGGCAACTTGGATCGATGCATGTAGGTTCATGTTCCTACGTTGTAGCTGACATTATACGCAGTCAAGACTAAGTTATTTATTACTATGTTGTACTCTTCTAGTAAACCCGTCATGCGAACAAAAAATTTATTCTTACTTTTATATCTATTGATTACGAAATCTAAGCGCTTTAATGCTTCATGTCTGGTTGAACTACCCGCTTCTTTTTCATTAGCAGATTCTCTGTCATTGGTAAGTTCTCAGATAACAACTAGTTTCTGAGATAATTGACCGTTATTACGAGTCTAAAGTTCCCAGTATCCGTATTGGGTTCTCAAGATGGGACCGGCACTTAATTTCGATATACCAGTTGAACTTGAACTTCGGACTTTATATTCATCAAAATCTTTTTGTGGGGTCTCTGTATTTACCTTGGCACACGACTCCACTAGTTATGGTCACTTATTATCCCTATCACAATGCATTTACCGACCATTTACACAATCAATCTGAACTGTATTAGGGTACCTTGTCTATGCTTAATAGCCTACGTGTTCGATGCTTTGTTTCGTGTTCCATTTTTACAAAAATATCATTCTGTATGTTTTTGTCAGTCGAAATATTCATCGCAGCTACCAAAGTAACGCACTACTATACTCCGTCTTGTATGATATGTTTTAGAGAAATCAAGAAATATCTTGATTTACTGTTAATTAATTGTCACAAAGATTTATCGACTAAGTTTTTCTACAGACAAATGTAATCATAACATAGTACCTAGAACTAAAATTCCCCACTTCAGATTCACTTCTCTTATGACTTATGACCCTGTTAATTATCACGTGACAAAATCGCCAGTCAGAACATCAACTTATGTGATCGCAACAATGACGCGTTAACCAGCTTGAGCAACCTAGAGTCAACTCTGAGTTTTTATTGGTTCTGTGTATATTGGCTTCTCGTCTAGCCCAGCCCGTCCAACCCAGATCACAAATATCAGTCTACGCTATATGAATCGTATATTTCAGCCGTACGTGGTTTATTTACAATCAGACCAGACTGCTAAACACCATTTCTGGTGGTTTTCTTCTCTGAGATGGATGGTTTGGTCGTAGAGCTTTTGTCGTTTTCTGAACAATATCAGCACAAATTTCAGGTAAAAGTGAAGTGTTTGACTTTCTCCACATTTGACTCGTAGCTTGTCCATTGGATCTCGATATTGACTGGCTATTGTTGACCTTTAACCCGTTATTGTTTACTCTGTTTTGATTGTATCATCATAAAATGTAAAATAATTATTATACAGGATCAAGCTAAAAGTGATTTTTGATTGTCGGCCTAAAAGTATTTTGGCTAAAGTATTATTCTTGATTGTTTCAATCCATAAGGACTTTATTAATGTCTAAAATGTTACGACTTACATAGTTACCAACTTAACGTTCTTTTTCTTCATTCTGAAAATGTATTTAGTTATAAATAAAAACACTATCCATTGCTGTCAAATTATGCTATTCATCCAAACACTAGATATATTTATATATGGCACATTCCTTAGTTAACATAAAAATAGTATTAACCACATGGTTCAAATTTAGGTTACTTGGATTCAAAACTGAAATCAATAATTTATTCACTGTTACGTGTGTATATTTATCAGAAAAATTATCCAAAATAATTCTGTGACTGGAGTTTCTCGGTATACATTTTTAAGATATTTATGTACGTGTATGTTTTAGACAGCTTTTTTTTTGTCTACACCATTGAATCTAATTGTTTATATATCAAATCCAAATAGGTTGAACGAATGGTCCAGACCTTTTTGGGAGAAACTGCTCGTACAGCTCAATTTGTGAAAGATTTTCTTGATCGTCGTCGGCCATTTTGGCAGTTGCATAGGAAACGACGGGAACAAGAGAATACAATCCAAGAATCAACAGGTCAAAATTCTAATCAACCCACAAGTACAGTTCGATCAACTGAGAAAAAGAAGCGTGCTAACCCGAATGATACCGCCACTAATAATACACAGCGCCAGAATTCAAACATTTGCAATGGACTGAGTTGGAATAAATCAGATTCTACTCACTTATCTAACATTGAACAAATTCAGGACAACCAGGTTGGAATTCTAAGTATCTAAGTTTTTGCAGTTCTTCAACTGATCTTTAGTTTTTTTCACTCATCCAAATTTGGGTTCCTTCCCAGAAGATTAGCACTGTTTTTATTGGTTGAAACTCAGAATCAAACCACTCCCGAACTTTTATTAAAATTAAGCGTTTTACTTGTGGAAATGAAAATCTGCTAATGCCTGTTACGACGGCTGATTATCTCAAATTTCTTATTTACTGTTACTCTGGATATTAAGTAGCTTGTGACAAACAAAGTCATCATCTGAGGAGCATTACATTCACTAATGCGGATGCAGTCATGTTACATTTTGGTAAATACTATTATTGGTTCGAAATAACGAAACCTGTAAATTACATCCTCTTTACGCTGTGTCCTAGTGCCCTTCTACTGTGGAATTTGCGTGTAAGGGAACAACAGTCCACAATATTTGCAAAATTGAAATAGAAATATTTAAAGCTTGTTGCGAGCGAAATAACTAGTCTATTATCCATTGATTGATCATTTATATTCATATAATCAATTCTGTGACGTTAGTCCTGTTTTTTGGTAACAACATTGTACTTTCCCTCTGTTTTTGTCTGGATATGTACAATTAAATAGGGTAGTCTAGGCGGTAAACAGGGAATATAACTCCCTTATCTTGGAGATTATAGTGTGAAATGCCTCAAATGCACTTCGTGTAACCACTAGACAGAATGCCTTCTTAATACATACATCTTTAGTACCGTCAATACTTTTTGAAATAATGACGTATGTTGGCGAGGTATTTTTCTAAATGAATCGGAAAAGTGATGGGCCCATTGGTACTATTCAGATATACTACTGGGAAACTCTTTCAGTAGAAGTATATAGGAAGGAACATTTGGTACAATAATTATTTCTTATGAGGTTTGTTCATAGTGGATGGTGCTTGTATTATACTGACAGTTCAGTTTCATTAGACATAAGTTTTTAACTGAAGTCTCGTATTTATTTGTGTAGAACGTTTTCGGGCGTATGTTGGTAACCTTTTGCCCGTTTGTTACTATTCATGGATACACTGTCTCATTACACTTCTCTATCTTTCTTCAGTGGCATCACATCAAACCTAAAGGAAGTCATAATCGTAAAAGCAAAAAGACAAATCTGCGTGAAAATGTGTACACCCTTTTCCACTTTTCTTTCAACACAACTGAGCAACTAGCATCCCCATGTTCTTTTGATTCTATCGCTTATCTCAATCGCCTATTACTTTTTTTATTGGGTGCTGTTATAAGGAATGTAAATTGTCTACTTTTTTCCCCTTGGAACTTTTATTCACTCTCTAATGTTATACTTTCTAGTGACATTTGTCTTTTTAAATTGCTTATGATAATCGTGACATAATGGCGTTTTATGTGCCGTCGTAATATTTGAGTTTTAGCTGGCTGTAATTTCTCTTTGATATATTTTCAAAGCTGGTGTTTGTGTGTGGTTTTCTTGAATATTATTTTATTTGACAGATAAATATGTGTATATATCACAATAATGGTTGCAATGCATACTTATTTTCAAAATTCTGTTTTACCTCCAATCTAAGTATTATATTATATATAAAATACGGCATCATAATTTATGAGCTAAGCTTATTTGTGTTAACCTGTCTACTCGTACACTCTTTCAAGTTTAAAATATTGAATCAACTATCGTCATTTTACAAGCATCTGAATTCTGAAAATACTCTCAAATGAAACTACCATAAAATAAAACAGTCTTTAATTTGTGAGTGGTGAGATGTGATTGTGTAAGTAAACTTCAAACAACAAAAAAGTGACCATCTACCATACGTTTAAATCCATGGATTTGTACCATTCACGAAACTTAGAGAATTCTTCACCTGGTATTTTATCTGAAGATAAATCATATTTATTTCTTTACGTATCTGACAACCGTTTACTTCAAATGAGAACTGGAAATAATAAAGCTGCTCATTTACACCTTAGTTGATACCTTTTATTACCTTTTGTAAGTGCATTTTGATGATAGCTGTGATCCTACGATTCATAGACATAAGTGAAATTTACAATATTACTTTATTCGATTACAATTTGTTGCTTCTTGGCTCAAGACAATAATCACAAGATCATTCAAATAATTATTACGTCTATTCACACAGCTTACGAAGTTTTGCTGCTTCTTAAAAGACAAATTCCATATACTTTATTCGATTACAATTTGTTGCTTCTTGGCTCAAGACAATAATCACAAGATCATTCAAATAATTATTACGTCTATTCACACAGCTTACGAAGTTTTGCTGCTTCTTAAAAGACGAATTCCATATACTTTATTCGATTACAATTTGTTGCTTCTTGGCTCAAGACAATAATCACAAGATCATTCAAATAATTATTACGTCTATTCACACAGCTTACGAAGTTTTGCTGCTTCTTAAAAGACAAATTCCATATATGATATGTGCTAGTGAGAACTTCACTCCTATAATTTTCTCATGTAGATGATGACACTGTTGTAACGTGTGACTGCAGATTAGATGCGCAGCGTATTTATCGATCGGATTAGTGTGACACGTAATGAACGGGTCTCGATTGGTCCCGCTTCCCTGTCTAGCCCAGCCAGTTGAGTCCAGAACACAAGTCACAGCTTCTGAGATATGAATCATTATATTTCAGACATACTCTATTTATATGCCAACCAAACAAACCACATCGTACCATAAAATAGAAAAACAACATTTGTACAATATTTGACAGGTGAAATGAATATCGACCAATGGAAATGTCCATTTAACGTCCAAGGACACCATTAGACTTAACACGATAATTATTGGTATATTCCTCTGCATCCCTAACAGACACCTGAATCATTTGTTTAGTCTTCATTAGGTTAAGTAACATTAAAATCTCACCGATTTGTCGTTTACACTTGTTCGCGTTAGGACTGTCCACTCTCTCCATTCTTGTTTAACTTTGTCGTTGACGTACTTTTAGAGATAACACTTTCCTCATCTGACTTTACAAGGGTTGAATGTCTACCGGGAGGTTCACTTGTTGACTTAGAATATGCAGATGATAATTTTATTTGGTGAAGACGCTGACAAAATGCAGAGTCTTCTGACCACTCTAAGCAACAATGCAAGCATGTTCGGGATGCGATTCTCCCCTCGAAGTGCAAAATGTTGCTTCAGGATTGGGTTGCATTGACACCCGAAATAATGATAGGGAGTGAAGTAATTGAGCGTGTCGATCGCTTTACTTATCTTGGAAGTCTCATCAGCCCTTGTGGTCTGGTGTGTGACGAAATCTCAGCACGGATACAGAAGGCTCGACTAGCTTTCGTCAACTTGCGTCATTTATGGCGTAGGCGAGATATCCGTCTATCAAGCAAAGGACGTGTTTACTGCGCAGCAGTTCGTTCCGTCCTACTTTATGACAGTGAAACATGGACGGTGAGAGTAAAGGATATTCGTAGGTTACTAGTATTCGATCATAGGTATCCTCGAAACATTGCTCGTATATCCTGGGACCAACGAGTAAGTAACACAGTTGTTAGGAAACAGGTACTAGGTAAGGATGGTAAATCAATTGAAGTAGTGTAACTTCATCAGTTGAGATGGCTGGGACATGTGTTACGTATGCCCAACCACCGACTGTCCTGACGAGCGATGTTTCGTGTAGGAGTAGGTTGGAAGAAAGCTAGGGGCGACCAGACCAAAACATGGCACAAGTCCATGAAGTCACTGACAAATGGACTGAGCCATATTGATAGGTGTAGACTACCTAGTTGGGGACCGCGAGTTGATAGCAACCTATGGTTAGAGACGTTGAATGACATGGCTCAAAATTGTTTGCGATGACGAAGGTGCATCCACTCTTTGTGTTCTCTCAAATTCTAATCTTCTGAATTCTTCGTGTACCTTTCTTTTTCCTCTTTCCGAACTTATTTCACTGTATTATACTCCTTGAATAACATCTTCAAACCCTAATCTTTCAGATTACTGATTATACTCTTACTAACTCTATCAATACGGGATTTGAATCGACAATTGTATTTGTGTGCTAATATGGTATAGCAACTCGAACTGATGTACGTACGTACGTACGAAGTTGTGCGTTGTTACTGACTGACTGACTTTAGACTGTTAGCACAACATATATTTTGCGGTTTGTGTAGAATGTTACTTCATAAATGAATAGTAACTCCAATAAGTGGTGAATAAATTCAACTTAGGATCCCTTTTCTATTGATTAAACTATTCGTCCCACTAAAGAGTTTAAGTTTTCTCGTGAACTGTCTACGTCACCATACTTACTTACTTGCGCCTGTTAGCTCTCGTGCTTACAGCTGCCATTCATTCTTTCGTGTCTGCTTCCAGTTCCCGACGTAGTGCGTTCTTTTGCCTTTCCCTTTATTTAGATGGTTTTTCAAAGTCGTAACGAACGTTTCATTCAAATGGGGTAGATTGGTAGTTTCTTGATTTAGTGACTGCATTTGAAGTCACTTTCGCTTTATGATATTTGTCTCAGGAGTTGTGGTGTAATTATGGATGACCAAAAATATTAAAAGCTAACAGTTTAAGGTGCCGCAATTCACCATAATGTACCATACTTTTTATCAGGGACTGGTCAATGTGCACCTTTTTTGTTTCAGAAATGCTGCAACATTATATCATCCAAGTTTGTAAGAAGGTAATTGACAGTAGTATATGCCTGTGTTTGTTGGGTAAAGATTTTTACTTGTGTTTTATTAGTCTTCTCAAGGAATCCATGTCTCGGTGCATACTTTTTGTCAAGCTATTCACTTTAGTGTGCCATAAAATTATTTGCCGAATTCAGTAGTTTTAAACTATTAAGACATAAAATCTTGTACGTTTATGGATAAAGTATCACAGGCAATTGCACTTGAATGTTAATGATTACACCGCTACATACGTCATTATTTGAGTCATAATAAGGTTAGAATAAAGCGGCGGGTTCAGTGGTTCTTAGCGAAACTTAAGTTATATATAAATAATATATTTGTAATATCCCAATAAGTAGAAAATTAGATTTTCTGACTCATTGGGATATTACAAATATATTATTTATTTATAGCAATCTACCCAATGCTCAATTTATTCGAAATTATCAAATCAAACCTTGGTAATGAGCGTACATTGTCTGGTTACAATAAATGAGGAACTGAATACTACTCAAGACAACATTGCAAATCGCCAGGTGTCTCATAACATTTACGATATTTTTCCTCATATTTGTACTCGAAACCCTGCAAACCACTTGACGAAAATAAGTAAACTCGATAGTGACTATATATTGATTTATGACAGCTCCTCTAATACCATAATCAATTTTATGTTGATTTTTGGAAATTGTCTTTTGCTTTCCAACTGACCTATTGACTGCCCTGTCTTACATTGAGGTTAGAGTGTCTCTATTTCAGGTTGCACTTGACTAAACATGTTTACGAATATTATCAAATGTAACCTACTTAAAGTTGGAACACAATTATGCATAAGAATCTTTTATTTCTGACAACTAATCTAATGTATACTAGGGTGTAAATTCACACTTTGGAGTTCTATACCTTTGAGGTTGTTGCAACAAAATATCTCATCAGTTATGCGACTAAGTTTCCCATTTTATTTTTTTCAATAAAGTTGTTTAAAAAATATGGATCTGTGATTCTTTACTAATTGAGCATTTCTACCATATTGTTATTTCTCGTGTTGCTTTTTTGTGTCTGATTGGCAAAATATCATGAAAACCGTGGTTACATCGTTTTAATTTGTGAGAAGTATCTTTCCTTAGGATTTCGCATACTATAATTATCAGTCCGCCACTTCCTTTGTCTGGCTTTTCAACTAAGGCTTTATGCTTAATATCATTATTGTTTCTTTCTTGATTACACTATATACCTTACCTCTTTTAATTTGCAGAAATTCACTCGATTTTATATCACTACTCAAAATCCTACTTATTAAAAACTGAATATCTCGAAAATCGGTTATAATTCGTCCAAGTAGCAGGTTGAGTTTTAGTGTTGATTCTGTGAAATCTTTATGATACTAAACACTACAAAGTGACAGCGTGCTACTTTCTCTTTATATAGTATCTTATACTTTCTTTTCTTTTTACTTACACGGGTTGTATCACCAGTCTGTAACAGCTCTGGTTAATATGTGTTGACGATTTTGTTATATACTTGATTCTAAACTTACTGGTGACACAGAAAATGCTAAATTTAAATAAATCAGCGAGTAAATAAGACTATAAATAGACGCTTCGTTGATATACGTCTAGTATTTGTATCAAAAGTCAATGATAAGAAACAAGAATCCATTTAGCGTCTTATTGACTCACATCGAACGTCCAAAAATGCATTTACCACTGCTTTCATTATGTTTGACCAGTGTTTATCTGTAAATAAACTTAATTTAATCAGTTCCAATCATCCAGTAAAAACTAAGCACACAAAGTTAAAGCCTTCATGATGCGACAAACTTGTTCATTTTTTCCCATATGTGTGCTGCAAAAGTCATAAGTGATAAAAGTACCGAATGCCATAGTCAGTTGATAGGCAATAGATTACTCGGAACAATTGTTTAAGTCAAATGTGGTTTCCACACATTAAATGCTCTATAATAAAAACGGAGTCTTAACAGGCGTAACTTTAATGTCTGAACATTCGTGTCTGTCACATAATGAGAGCGGACCAGAAAATTATCAGTAGTTAATCTGAAGTCTCATATAGTCAAAAGCAATGTTCTCAATAAAATAATGGATTTTAATTAGTAATCCACGCAATAGATAGACTTGTCCTATGTTTACAAGAACCTGGGGACGTCATCTGGTGCCTTGGGGGATACTAGTAGTATTATTCCGTGTTAAACATCAACGAGAAAGTCAACAATTGGGTTGAACTCTTGAAATAAAATAACCATGTGATGACACGAACACATAGACACTAGACAATATTTGCCG